CTCTCTGGCATACTTCATCTAAAATATTGCATGTCAAAAGATTAATACAGCAAATTTAAATATTTGTATTTTTAAAAATTCCACAGGAAGAGCTGAAAATGGATTACGACTTTTTTTGTATTTCTTAAACTATGTTTTTTACATTTTGAGAAAATGGATATATGAAAATGGTTTTTATTTTAAAACACTGGCTATTTCTGACATAGATATTTGCCATATAATATTTTAATTTGTGTTAATGTGGTATGAAGACTCTACTTAAAAACATTTCAAAATCAAGTTGTAATTCTTTTAGGTAAAATATAAGTACCTCAGACAAATCATAGCACATAAATTATTTAATCAGAATTAATTTGTCAAATGCTGTCACAGAGAACCTTTGCAACAAAAAGAACACCTTGCTGTCAGCTACTCTATAAAGGATAATGTTCAATTAAAAAACTACAAAATATATGGTGAACCACACTTTGTAAGAAGCTTGTGCACACTTACTAGAAAACCCACATCACCAAGGCACAACAGTGCCACTCAGTGGCTGAACAATGGTAGTGGACTGATAAACAATGAATGGAGTGCCGGCAACAGGAAAAGCAGAACAGGCAATGTTAACACTGTAAGGAAGTCTGGAGAGAAGAAGGTAGGGAGGGATGGAGGGAGAGAAGGAGGAAGAGAGAAAGAGAAAGACTAAGAGACTGGGGGGGGGGGGCGGGCTGGCTATGTTGCTATGGTAACTGTACCTTGGAGGTCAGTTAGAGTCTGGGCAGGAACAGAAAGCTGAGCATCGCTTCCTGTCACTACATCTCCTGGATTTCATAAGAAAAAATAATATGAGATTTTTATAAGAAGGAAACAACCAACTTTACTTCTCTCTTTCATATTCAATTAATACTTTTACCAAATTACTAAAAATATAGTATAACAGAAAATGTAACACAAGATTAGAAAAATATATTTTAAAAGGAAATAATGTTTCAAAAAATATTTCCTAAGAATTTTGTTTGTTTTTCCTACAGAAAAAGCAAACAAGTTTCTACTAGATTAGAGTATAGAAAACTTTAGCAATCGTAAGACTTTGCTGAGCAAATTTCATGGTGCTACAAATATTAGTGTGATTTTATATTGTTTTTTTTTTAAACTTCAAACCCAAAAGAAAGTGATAAATCATTTATTAACAGCCATTCTTTTGAAATTAATCTCTTCCAATATTATACAAATTGATTTTTACCTACACTTGAAAGCAATTCTTTCAATGGTAGGACCTAAATAAGTTCTAATTTCATAGTAGATAATGAAAAGATTTTAAAAGTTACCACATATACTTACAAATGTTAACATATAAAAATAAAGCTGTGAACTACACCCCCTTTATTTGATATACTTATTATAGTTAAGATTTCATTTACAAATTGGACATGTAGTAAATGCTTAAAATAAAGTAGTGCTCAAAAAACTTTTTTTTTAGTACTGGGGATTGAATTAAATTTTTTTTTTTTGTACTGGGGATGAACTCACGACCTTGCGCTTGCGAGGCAGGCGGAGGCACCACTGAGCTAAATCCCCGGCAAGATTTTTAAAAATAATTAAAACTAAAGATAAAGGAAACAAGAATAAAAAAAGAGCACTTCAACAACTAAGAAAAGGAGCATAGCAGGAAGTCCCATGAGGAGCCTGAAGTGCTCTAACAAGGTTCTGATTTCCTTCCTGAATGACAAAGTTCAACACTGAGCATAGTCACTGTCAACAAAATAACCTTCTGGCTATAGCACCATAAGGCCTATGCTATTTTGAGATTAACAAACCTTTTTAAAAAGTACTATATTTTCCACAAAAGATAAATTATAATTAACAGAATTACTTCTCCTTTACCTTTTATATAATATATACAGTAGTAAAAAAATCAAATTTTGAATTAAATAACATGCTCTCAGTGTGCTGACCACTGGCTACGATTATTTAAGCATGGCCAACTCATCTGGAAATTGTTAAATTGTAATTATATCATCCCCATCAATTAACAGGACATACATTTGCATTCTCCTATAATGGAAAGAAAATCTATAAATAGTAACATATTCCAAACAAGTGATAAACAGCTTCCAGGGGAAATGGTCAAGTCCTGAATTTTCATAATATAGTTAACTCTGAATTCACTGATAAATGATGGGCCTACTTTTTGTATACTTTCAGGAAATTCTATACCTGCTGCTCATTTTACTTTAGGTTGTCTACTAACATATATAGAGAGACTAAAACTTATTTTAATATAAGTATCACCAAAAAATTATGGGGAACATCTTTGTTGCTCGTTTTCTTCATTATTCCATCCCCAACACATATACAAGCTACACAGTGCATTTCAACCAATAAACACATGCATGAATTTGGATTACAAACACAACTCTCCCCTTTATAAGCACAAATAATTGTAGCCTATGAGAACCTCATACATTTTCCTGTTTACAACAACCACTTTTCAAAACAACTTTTACATTTTCCAAAAGAGTACACTAAAAAGGCTATAATATTTCCACAAAAGCACTAAGTAGATGACTATTCAAGATAGACATCACACGCCAACACAAGCCCCTCCACAGGCTGTTGTGTTCAATAACCTGAGGAGACATACTTGCAGATTTGTCAGTGAAACAGCAAGCAGAGTACTTGTGGGAAATACCAGGACAAAGAACCAATGCTGGTGAAATATTTTTCATTATAGAGTTAATACATACATTTTCCACAAAAAGAACAACAGAGTTTTTTAGATGTGGGAAGCTCCGTAGGAATCGGTCCAAGTCTCTCATTTTCTGGTGAGGAAATGGAGGCAGACAGTTTAAGGTAGAAGAGAATCAAGCTCTTCCTACTTCTATAAACTGTTTTTATATGCTTTATTTTATTCAAGTCTTTATGCAGAGAGGAGGATTAGCAGGAATATTTATCTTTACTATAAAGAAAGGTAGAATAGCTCTTTTGGTAGACTGACACAAGAAGAGTGTACCAGAAATAAAAATATATGAGTTGCAAATCAAGGCCAATTTCTTTCAGGAGAGGGATCAGTTACAAAATGCCCCAGTGATATTCATTTTCCAAATACTTTGCTTAAGTGCTCTGCTGTCTCCTTATAACTGGGGGCTTAGTTTTCATCAGTTGTTCCATCTCCATATTCTTCCTTTCTCACTTACTGTGATATTAATACTTGACATTTCCACAGAGACACAACTTTATATTTCTATAGTCATTTGGCTTTGTTCCTCAGAAAATTTAAGCTGCAGCATTGAGAGATTCTCTGACTGATTTGCCTGCCATCAGTTAGAAATACAACTGACTAAAGCTTGTTATCCAAGCAATATTGAAATCATATTTGTTTAGAACAATAAAACAGTACAATTAAGAAATATATAAAATAACATCCATTTCCATTCTTGAAGTAGGAATATCTCTTGGAATTAAAATACATTTACAATATGTTAATGATCTGTCTTTTCTTTAAATCGTAAAAAATGTAATTTTAAATGAGCTATTCTCATGTAAAGTAAGCTGAATATTCTGATAAAAATTTAAACAGTAATTATATAAAGTCTGATATTTAATATAGGCAAAGAAATATAGAAAAGACAGATGACATGTAAATAATGGAGGAATATACAGACACACATGTGTGTGCAGGTATGTGCAAACACACATCATTATTGAGTATTTGTTAATTTGCATCACTGGAGAACAGAGTCTATGCATTTATAAATCTAACTGGAAATGTGTAGATTTTAAAATAATTTTGGATGTAACCTTTTATTTTGGGTATGGAAGATCGAACTCGGGACCTTGAACTTTCGAGGCATGTGGTGGAAGCACTGAGCTAAATCCCCGGGCCTTGATGCAACCTTCTTAAACAGAGTATGTGGAACTTCATTTAAAGTCTTCTTACTGGTAACAGTGTCAATATCAAGTACTGGACACTGATGTAACACAGGGATTCTTTATGACATAAAAGAGACTTGGATCAGGATGTTTGTTCTGACACTAAATGGTTCCAGACTTCTTTGTTTCTGACGTCATAGCATTGCTCTTTGCATATTTTCTTCCATCATTTAGTGTTTCTTGCTTTCTTGCTTCTATTTAGCAGAGTTTCACTGATAAAAATAAATGTAGCTGTTTGCAGTCTACTAGGAACAGAGAGACCTAATACATTTGGCCACTTTGAAAATAAAGAGCATTGTATAAAGGTTCTCGGTAAGAGCCTGAAGGGCTGTCTTATGAGTAAAGTGCCTGATGGAGGTGAAGCACTAGGAAGACCCTGACATAGCAAAGAACTTACCTGACTGCCAGTAGCAGGAGTGCTACCAGGAGCGGAATCAGTAGCAGTGCCCTTACTTATCCAACAACAGATGTGGGTTGGATGATCTCCTGGGTATCTTCTGCTCTTAAATCCTATGGTGCTAATTTTTAGTGTATGGACTTAAACACTTATTTTGGCTTCTTGAGATTTTGTTAAGCTTTTTTCTTTTTCCCTTAGGGTTAGGGTTAAGATTCTAGTTTGTATTCCTTAGAGGGAAAGCAGCTAGATGAGAGACCACAAGCCTACTGGCATGCCTTCTCCAAACCACTGCAATGTATTGATACATACTGTGATGAAAAAAGCCCATGGTATTATACCTTCTCAATTCAGATTCTTTTCTGAAAGACATCATTACTCTCTTGGGAGCATTACTAATACAAAGTTAACAGAAAATATAAGCAACCGATCTCAAGTTCTATACTGTAATCATACATAGGGGCAGCCACTGGACAAAGATGCAAGTATATTAGAATATAAATATTTTAAAAACTGGATTCACAAAGTACAGTATCTGACATCCCAACTGAAAAGGATCAAATACAACTGATTTTTTAAAATTAAGTTTTGCACTAATTTTTGTTTTGGAGAGGCTGGTTCCTCATAGGCAGGTGAGGAAATCCTAGACTACACTGTGTATTCTTTGGCTTTACTGGCATTTTTTTCCTACCTTTGTTCAATTGCACTGGCATGCTTTCAGATTTCATTAGCCTCTGCTGCTGCTGTTGCTGCTGTTGCTGCTGTTGCTGCTGTTGCTGTTGCTGATGCCTTGGGGCTTCTGTGGAGGTCTTGGTGGGAATCACAGCAGAGGAAGAGCCGCTGTTGTCCCCGGGTATAGGGCCACCCACGCTGCCTGGGGTCATTGCTGGGGAAATCAGCTTTCTTCCAAAATTAATCAGGCTATTAGATACCTTATTTATATTCAGGGGAGTGCCTTTGGGGTTGGTCCTGTTTAAAAAAAAAATTAAGTGGGCATACATTATTTAAATTAGAAGATGACTATTTCACATACTCCACTAAACATCCCTTGTTCTGCTTTGTAAAAGGGCTTTTACTAGATCAGCTATATAAAGTAACAAGTGAAAACTTAAAGTGACCACAGAATAATAACAAGACTCTTAAAAACAGAGCCTATGAAATCAATCTTACTGCTTTATATTCACTCTTTCATTCTTTTAACAAATAGGACACTATGTGCCAGTACAGTATTATATTTGGAAGATACATTTGCCTCAAACATAGTTCCCTTCTTGGAGCTTGTAGTTCAGTAGAGAAAAAAAATAAATTAACCAAAAATCACATAAATAAGTATGTGTCTAAAATCTATGATGTGGACAATAAGGGAGAGGTACAGGGCTTGCAAAGTCCTGGGGTGTTCGAGAAGGGGCACATGTGAAATGAGGCTGAGAGTAGAAGTCCCACAAGCCTAATAGACCAGATTTAATTTTATTTTGAAAATAAATGTTTCTGATAACCATGAAGTAAATTTCTAGAAGTTATTTCAACTGGCCAGTTCATTAAAATTGCAACCCACACCAGCTCCCTGCCCCAGCCCTCCATGTCCTCCTGACCCACTTCCCTGTTTATTTTTCTTGATAGCAGTTTTCATTACCTGACATACTATATTTTACTTATTTCAGTATCATTTGTCCACCTCCTACAATCTCCATTTAAATATGTTTCATGAGAGGAAGGATTTTTGTCTCTTTTGTTAATACTGCCATATTGCCACTGAGTAGCACATTGTAGCTACTTTAAAATATTAAATGGTAGCTACATCTACCTGCAGTCTAAGTCTTTCTCAGTGTCAAGAAGTCCATGATCCTAGCCATGACTAGCCTCTGCATTTGTGCTCTGAATCCCATCTCCTCTTTATCTCATGAGATTGCTGCTCCTGTAGCCTTCTCTCCTGCATCATTACTTTCTTCCCCTCTACTGTATCATTACCATTATCATACAACCATGGTGACTACGTATGGGAGCATACTATTTTCTCTTTTGGTCCCAAACTGTTGGTCCCTATGTAGTTCCCATCCCATTTCTTTCCCTACTCATGTTTTCTCAAAGTATCTTTACATGTTACATCGGTTCCCTTTGGTCCACTAAGCTCTGGCTGTGGCCTCTTTGCTACTGCAGTAAAACCAGTCAAGGTGATTGGTGATTTCTGCATTGTAGACCCAAAGATTTATTCTTGTTTGACTCTGTCACTCAGTGGCTATCAACTCACCCCCCACCATCCTATTTTTTTCTTGGCTTCTTATATGGTTTGCCACTACCTGTGTTATAAATTCATTTGGCAAAAAAAAGGGCACCCAAGAATATCTACTAAATGAACGATTACTTCCTTCATAATCTTGCAGTATATTCCAGGATTGTTATCTTGAAGATCAATTATGATTACTTTAGTTGTAGGAGGTAGTCTCATTCCATGACAATATCAAACTATATTTTTATTGCCTAAATAATTAATAGAAATTTACTCTTTCCATGAAAGTACAAAAGATTCTGCTATTTGATTTTAGTTAACTTGAATTGTACTATCATTTTCTTCTCTTAGATCTCTGGCAGCACTTATACAATAATTCTACTTTTTATATGACAGCTATATCCTTGGTATTACTAGGTATCACTCTCTCAAACAGAATTGATCCATATTTTTATAATAAAAACAAAAGAACACTATGTTTCTCCCTTCCATGAAGCTTTCTCTAATGGCACTACCTAATATTATGTGCAAGGTACTGAGCTTACATTGCTTTGGAGACAGAATAATTCAAGTTTAAAATCTGGGATTCATCTTTACAAAAGAAAAATCTATTTATTTATAACTCAATGCATTGAGTGTGAAAAAATTTCAAATGATTCCTTTTGTATTGTCTCATCTTTAATGAACTGAGCTATTTAATATCCTTCCAAAATTATTAAAAATAATGTTTCCTAGTGGAAATAAGGATATAGAGTACTTATACACCATTCACCTTCTTAGCTGCTTTTATAAACACTACAGGTTGGCAACAGAAAAGACTCTCAATATATATTTACTAAGAAAAAAGAATGAATAAAATAGAAAGAACTCATAAATTCTGGATTAGCTAAGCATTTAACTCTGGTATGATGTTCTACTCAGCAGTTGGGCATGCATTCCCATTTCTTGTGATAGTAGAAAGAAGAGCTATCATGATACTGAAGTTCAGCTGCATTTTTGTTTTGATTGTTTGCAAGTCTAGATTCATAATTCACAGATATGAAGAAGTTATAATGTTGTTACCCTTTTTTATAAGCAAGAATGTACTAGTCAAATTCCCATATTGCCAGTTGTAAAATTTATATGTTGATAAAAGTACTAAGAAACAGCTAGAGCATTATCAAGAGAATATGGCTAATGTATCTTCATTAGTACTAATAACCATGAAAAACATATAGCTCAAGCTCATGCTGAGTAATTTTTCATCTGAATAGCTCTTAAAAGGAGATGAGCACTGTTTCCTTTTTTGAACTTTTTTTTGTTTTTAAACACTTCTCCCCCTCATCCACTACCCAGAAGCATATTTTCCAGAAGCATATTTTCTTTTCCAAACAATTGAAGACAACTCTGTACTTTTAGGACACAAATAATTGTAAATCATGTAATTGTATAGAAAGCATGCTGTCTACAGTTGTTTGAGGCATGACAGGTTTTGCCAAAAGTTATCTAATTTAGATCTAAAATATTAATAGCACATTTTTTACATTAAATACTAAACAGCTTCTAATAAGTATTAAGGCTGTGGTGTATGATATGAGGTGCACAAGTGAAAATGCAGTTTTCAGAGATGTGATAGACAGCAGGGTTTGAGTTAAAGATAGAGTACAATGTTTATTGTTAAATAAACAAGGGTAATTTGGAGTTAAGACACCGAGTATCAAATCTAATGAATGACCAACTGTGTAATCAAAGTCTTTTATTACCATTGGCTATTCATTATTATTAAAAATAGTAACGCATAGGGAAGATTGTTTTTAAAATGTGCCAAAGCTTACTTTTTGGTACCATGTCAGTTAGCAGGTTAAATCAGTAATAGTAGGGGCATTTTCTGAAGATACAAGAATCTCTTCAAAACACTTGTACTATAACCTAACTCTGACCTGACTTTATTGTTGGGCTCCTTTTGTTCAGTTTCTGAAACTCTGAAAATGGATAACTCTTTCTAGCTTCTTACTACCCTGTTGATCTCTTACAGCAGGCTACGTGACCCTTACTCCACTGAAAGAACTCTAAGGTGTATAGCAGCTTCTTAAGTGCTAGAGTCATATCTGTTTTGATTTAACTTCTAAAGCCTTTCTGAAGGATTTTTTAAAAAATCCATTACCACCTTTATAAAAAGTCTGCACAATCTTTTCTCTTTTGGTAGCCAATTCTCGACACCATTCTGGTTTATCTACTTTCTACTTATAGATTTTTCAGATATATTATACATCTAGTATTTATTTCACTTTCTGTAATATAATTTGTTTAGATACTTGCCTATATTTTTGTCAAAGAATCAATTTTCAATTTACTCTAAATTATTTTTCTCTATATTTTACTTTCTAGTTTTCTTGTTATTTCTTTCCTGTGTTCTCCAAGGCTGTATGCTTGGTTCATTAATTTGTTCATTCATTCATTCATTCATTCATTCACTTCTTTTCATTTTCTCTTTTTCCCAATAAAAACATTTAAAGCTACACATTTGCATCTTTTTTCTTTCCTTTTTTTTTTTTGGTACCAGGGATTGAACTCTGGTCCTTGTGCTTGCGCAGCTGGCAGCAAAACCACTGAGCTAAATCCCCGGCCCTGCATCTGATTATAGCATTAGCATCAAAGATTTTTTTTCTCATTTTCTATACAGTCTGTGGACACAATTGTTTAGGTAATTTTAAGTTTCATATAGTTAAGTTTGTATTTAAATATATTACTCATTTTGTTTTATTAAATAAAAATAGAAATAGCAGAAAAACGAAAGTAGGAATATGTTCTGATTTTTAAAAGGATTATAGAAACCACCAATTAGAAAACAGAATGGTTTATTTAAATATTTTTACTAATTATTTGGAAATAGACACAGTTATTACAGGTACCCAATATAGTTCACTAAAAATAAGTAATTCCAAGACAACTTTGCCTCCTGTCTCATAGTGTTTAAGTCCACTGGATTTCATTACTTGTAGATATGATAGAAGATAATGCATGCTTAGTTACAGTTGAACACCTGCACCCCATGTGTACTGGTCAAGGTCAATGTCCCACTAAGGCTCCTAGTGATGATATGTCTTAAACTTGGTCTATAGATTTGCTCACTTGTTTTTAGGTCATCGTCTTTATTAATAAGCTGTGCAAATTCTGCCCTGCAGGACCTAAGTTTCCTTCTCCCTAAAACAAGGGAGCTAAATTTTAGGATATTTTAGGTTCCTTTAAGATAAAAAAAAAAATTCTACAACTTTGTGACTTGAACAAAGAGAACATGTGTTAATAAACTTCAGACCAAAGACTACAGAGATACCTAGTACATCAAATAAAAGAATCCAAGTTTAAAATAACAGGCTAGCACGAGAGATAAATTAAGCAGAAAAAATTAATGAAGATAAATGAAAGTTCATATAATCACGTTAAAATTTTACAATTAGGCACTACATATAGAACAGGGAGGCAGGAATTAATATGAGTTTATATTTTAAAATATCTAACAACCTTACAGACATTAATGTTTTATTTTGGTTGACAAGGCAAATACTATGAGCCCACAGTAATGATACTGAAGAAAATTAAGATTCCGGGGCTTCACTAATACTAGATGAGAGCCCACACTACAGGAGATACTGTACAACTATGGCAGTCAGCTTTTGGTGATGTATTTATTTCCGGAAGAAATGAGTTGTGTTTCTAAAACAGTGGGGAAGCTGAAAATTAAGTCAGAAGAGGAATGACTGAA